CAATCGGATACTTATTTTGAATCCCAGTCGGGACAAAATGGGCAAAAGTAATGCAAATACTGAAGCACTTAGCTGGAAAACTGGCCATGGGAGGGAACCTGCTGCTGGCTGGATAGGGCTGTGGCTGATCACATGCCCACACGCCAAATCAAAGGCAACATATGGATCCTCATTCTCAATGACATTTTGACTAAAATTCAGCAGTATGTCACTGAAGCACTTAAGGGTGAGATCCAAACCACCTCCAGACACGTACAACCATGTGATGTTGCACCATTGACATCTATGTTGAAAGAGGACCTCGGACAGCTTCAGTTGATTCAGTAGACTCCATCAATTTAGCGCTAGCATTAGTCATAGAGTTACACAGCACGAAGCAGACCCTTTGGTCCAGTTCGTCCATGCGGACCAGATATAAGAAACTGATCTAGTCCCATTTGTCAGCATTTGGCCCATTATCCCTCTAAACCCTTCGTATTCATGTACCCATCCAGATGCCTTTTAAATTTCATAACTGTACCTGCTTCCTCCACTTCCTCTGGCAGCTCAGTCCATACACGCACCACCCTCTTCAAACATTTGCCCCTTAGGTCCCTTTTAAATCTTTCCCTCCTAACCTTAAACCTATGTCCTTTAGTTTTGGACCCCGCTAGCCTGGGGAAAAGATCTTGTCCACCCTATCAATGCCCTCATGATTTTATAAACTTCTATAAGGTCAGCCTTCAGCCTCCAATGCTGCAGGGAAAATAGCCGCAGCCTGTTCAGCCTCCCCCTATAGCTCAAACCCTCCAATCCTGGCTACATCCTTGTAAATCTTTTCTGAACCCTTATAAGTTTAACAACATCTTCCCAATAGCAGGGAGACCAGAACTGAATGCAGTATTTCACAACTGGTCTAACCAACATGACCTCCCAACTCTTAAACTCAATGCATTGCATTGATCAATAAAGGCAACTATACCAAATGCTTTCCTCACTACCTGGGACTCCACTTTCAAGGAACTATGAACCTGCATTCCAAGGTCTTTGTTCAGCTACACTGCTCAGGACCTTACCATTAAGTGTATAAATCCTGCCTTGATTTGCCCTTCCAATTTACATGTGGTCTTCACATTTATCTAAATTAAACTCCATCTACCACTCCTCAGCCCATTGGCTCAGTTGATCAAAGTCCTGTTGTACTCCGAGATGACCTTGGCCGACTGCTACACCTCCAATTTTGGTGTCATCTGCAGACTGACTAACCATACCAACTTATGTTGGCATCCAAATCATTTAAATGAATGACAAAAAGCACTGGACCCACCACTAATCCTTGTGGCACACTGCTGGTCACAGCCTCCAGTCTGAAAAGCAACCCTCCATCACCCCCCTCTGTCTGCTATCTTCCAGCCAGTTGTGTATTCAAATGGCTAGTTCTCCCTGTATTCTATGTGATCTAATCTTCCTAACCAGTCTACCATGTGGAACTTTGTCAACACCTGACTGAAGTTCACATCCGCCTTCATCAGTCTTCTTCGTTAATTCTTCAAAAAACTCAATCAAGTTAGTGAGACATGATTTCCTGTGCACAAAACCAAGATGACTATCCCTAATCAGTCCTTGCCTTTCCAAACGCATGTAAATCCTGTCCCTCAATCTCCTCCAACAACTTACCCACCATTGACATCAGGCTCATTGGTCTATGGTTTCCTGTCTTTTCTTTTCATTTACCATCTTTTTTTAAATAATGGCACCACTTTAGCTAAATTCCAGTCTTCCAGCACTTCAACTGTGCCTATAGATAATACAAATATCTCAGCCAGGGCTGCAGCAATCTCTTCCCTAGTTTCCCACAAAGTTGTAGGGTATACTTAATCAGGTCGCAGGGATTTATCCACCTTTTTGCGTTTTAAGCCATCCAGCACCACCTCATCTGTAATACGGACATTTTTCAAGATATTGCGATTTATTTCCCCAAGTTCTCTAGCTTCCATATTCTTCTCCACAGTAAGCATTGACACGCAATACTCATCTGTATCTCACCCATCTCCTGTGGTTCCATACGTAGGTGGCCTTGTAGATCATTAAGGGGACCTATTCTCTATCTAGTTACTCTTTTGTCCTTAATACATTAGTAGAATATCTTTGGATTCTCCTTAAACCTATTTGCCAAAGCCATTGCATGTCCCCTTTTTGCCCTCCTGATTGCCCTCTTCAGTGTACTCTGCCCTTATTTTCCCCTATGGATTCACTTGATCCCAGTCTATACCTGAAAAATGCCTCCTTTTTCTTGACCAGAGCCTCAAATTCTGTAGCCATCCAGCATTCTCTACACCTACCAGCCTTCCCTTTCACACTAACAGGAACATAACGTTTCTGAACTCTTGTTATTTCAATTTTGAAGGCTTTTCACTTTCCAACCATCCTTTTACCTGTGAAAGCTTCTCCCAATCAACTTTTGAAGGTTCCTGCCTAATACCATTGAGATTGGTCTTACTCCAATTTAGAACTTTTTAACTTTTATATCAGGCCTATCCTTTTTTTACATAACTATTTTAAATTATGATCTCTGGCCCCCAAAGTGCTCCCCACTGACACCTCAGTCACTTGCCCTGCCTTTCTAGTAGGTACATTTACAAATTGAATAAGAAATTTTTCTGCTACACACTTAACAAATTCCTTTCCATGTAAGCCCTTAACATTATGAGAGTCCTAGTCTGTGTTTGGAAAGTTAAAACCCCCAACCATTACAACCCAGTTATTCTTGGAGATGTGGGATCACCTTACATACTTGCGTCTCCATTTCCCGCTGACTACTGGAGACCTATAGAACAATCCCAAGTAGGCAATCATCTCTCTCTCATTTCTCAGTTCCGCACACACCGCTGGACATTCTCCCAAGAATATCCTCCCTACGTACAGCCGTAATGTTATCCTTAACCAAAATGTCACTCCCCCATCTCTCTTGTGTCCCTTTCTATCCTTTGCATAACATCTATACCTTAGTACACTAAGCTGCCAGTCCTGCCCTCCCTGAGCCATGTTTCTGTGATAGTGATGATATCCCAGCCCCATGTTCACAACCATGCCCTGAGTTGATCTAGGTTACCTGTCAGGCCTCTTGCATTGAGTCTTACCTTGTTCTCTGCCTTGCTCTTGACTGCCATGACTATTTGACATGCTCATATCTATTGTACCAGCCTCAGACTTGTCTTTTTACTCACTCCTCTCTTTTGGTCTCCCCACACCCAACCACCATCACCACGAGTTTAATGCTGCCTGAGTAGTACTAATCACCCTGCAGGGATGTCGGTCCCCTTCTAATTCAGGTGCAACCCATCATTCTTCTACAGACCACTTCTACCCCAGAAGAGGTCCCAATGATGCAAAAATGAATCCCTGCCCCCTGTACCAGCCCCTCAGCCATGCATTCATCTGCCATATCCTCCTAATTCTCCTCCTCAGCATCAATAGTTTATATTAGTTTATTTACTCTGCACGCAAGTCTTTTCACTTGCCTGACATAAAATAGTAAACCTGAAGGTCCAGCAGAGGGTGCAGTAACCTTGAATAAAATTCGGACACAGGCAATCCAATATAGAGAGAGATTTTGGTTATGAATGATCTGGGTGACAACTGTTACACTTTTACTGGAATTTTAGATATTTGAATTGCGGGACGTGTCACTGGTTGCCCATCATTTCTTGCTGTTCCCTAGCTGCCATTGAGAAGGTGGTGGTGAGCTGTGTTCTTGAGCTGCTGCAGTCTGTAAGAAACGAGAGGTAATGACAAGTGGAAATATAAAGCCATGTCTGAAGATGATACAGGTAGTTCTGCTATAACGTGTGTTTCGTTAACATGAATTGGCTGTAATGCGCTCAAATAATCCGACGCTGTTTGGATAACACTAACTTTGTGCTGTACAAGTGTAGTGGGTTTTATATAGTGATTTTTCCCATTATGTGATTTTCTATGGTGATTTCCTATAAGCACAATTTTCTATAGCGTGAGGTCACAAGAATGCAATTATCGCGTTATAGGAGAACTACCTGTACCTGAGGGTTCTGTAACTAAATTTATCATTTGAATTTTTATGGTAAAGTAAGATTCTGAATTCTTAGCACCCTTTGCAGAGGTTACTAATGAGACATATTGGCACCATGTTACTTGTGAAAGTAAACTTGCTGCCAGCTGTCCATAAGTACTTGGAAGTGTTAATGATGTATCATTGCAGTATTCTCTTTGGGAGCCATTTTTGTATTTGTTCATGTCAAGGGCTAGGCTAACATTTAGCCCATACTTAACTGACCATGAGAATGTGCAGTACAAAGGAAGTGGTGTTGCCAAAGTACCTTAATTCATTTTCCATCAAGTGAGCATTTATTTTAGTTTTGTCATTTGTGTAAATTCAAAGAATTCTTAATAAAATTTAATGCAGCCATTCTCAAAATAAAGTCATCTTGATTATTGGTTTCTGTTATTGAACTGCATTATTACAATTTGGTGATTGAAAAGTGTAAAATTTATATTTTAAAAAATGGAATTTGGATTTCAAAATGGACTCTGATGGGTTCTAGTTGCTTATGTGAAGGGTTTCTTTATTTAAAAAAAGGCCAGAGTCCTTATGGAATTGTGACTGAATCTACCATTTGTCATAAAGCAGGTGTCTGACTAATTTATTAGACCTTTTTGAGCAAATCTCAACCAGATTGCGTAGAGGGGAACCAGTATGTCTGTTGTATTTAGACTTTGAGAAGGCGTTCGAAAAGCTATCTCACAAAATGTTATCTTGTAAGATGGGAGTCCGTGGTGTAGGAGCTAGTATATTGGCATGGATATGGAATTGGCTCATGGGCAGGAAACAGTGAGTGGAGATAAGGTGTTCTTTTTCAGGTTGGCAACCATTGACCAGTGGGATTCTGCGGGCTCAGTGCTGGAAATACAACTGTTTAGAATGTACACGAATGACGTGGAGGAAGGAAGCTAATGTACTGTAGCAAATCTGCAGATGATACACAAATAAGTGGAAAGGCAGGTTGCAAGAGAGATACAAACATTCTGCAGGGAGATAGGTTAAGCAAGTGGGCAAAAAAGTTAGCGAATGCAGTATAATGTGGGAAAATATGAAGTTGTTATGTATTTTGGATGGGAAGGGTGAATGAAATAACAGCTTTTTTTCAAATGGAGGTAAACTGCAGAAAGTAACAATACAAAGGGAATTGGGGGTGCCTGTGCATGAAACACAAAGCTAGAACACAAATGCAGCAAGTAATCAGGAAGGTTAATGGAATGTTGGCCCTTATTTCAAAGGGTCTGGAGCATGAGTAGGGAAGTCTTACTGCAGTTGTGCAATGTGCCGGTGCAACCACATCTGGAGTACTGGGAGCAGTGTTGATCTTAGTTAAGGAAGGATACCATTTAATTGAAGGCAGATCAAAGAAGATTCCCTAGGATGATTTGCAGTATGGAGGGATTGTCTTATTAACAAACAAGTTGGGACTCTTCTCACTGGAGTTTCGGAAAACAAAAAGTTATTTCTTTGAAACATACAGGCTGCTTAACAGGCTTCACAGGATAAATGCTGGGAGGATGTTTCCCCTCATCAGAGAGACTAGCAACAGAGGGCATAGTCTCAGGAGATGAGGAGGAATTTCTTTTGAGCGTTGAGTGTCTTTGGAATTCCTTGATTCAGAGAGCTGTGGGGCACAATCTTTGTGCATGTTTAAGCCTGATATAAATAGTTCAAGAGGGGAATCGAGTGTTATGGGGAAAATGCAGGAAAGTGGATATGAGGAATGTTGGATTAGCCATGATCCTACTAAATGGTGAAGCAGGTTTGAGAGTCTGAATATCATCCTGTTCTGAATTCTTACGGTCTTTATGGCTGCAGACTCTTCGTAGTGTTAGTGGAAACTGGATATACTGTTGTATAGCCTATACTGTTGGGAATTTGACAGGGAAGTAATACATATAAGAGCATTTTACATAAAAGATCATCAGCTGTCTTTTCAAAGTGAAAGATGAGCAAGTTTTTATTTCCGCTTAGCAGACACCAGGGTTGAGTATAGGAGCAAATTTACTTTATCTCTCAGGAGGAGATGAGGGACGTTCAGGGGACCTGTCACAGTGCTGTAACTACTGTTAGCCATGTTCAGCTGCATTAGCCATGGGCAGCTGTTGGCCATTTTGTGCTGCTCAGTCATGGGCAGCCCTAATGAGGTTACTTTCTCAGGACTTTGTAATGCACAGTGTTGTGAAACAGGTTGAGACTTTATTTTGCTACGTGTTTTAAGATCATTGTATTCAAATTGCTCTTTGAAACTTGTTTATGCAATAAAATTCTATTTAGTTGAAGAATATCTATAGTCTTGTGCGAATACATTTATGACTAACCACCCATGTTAACTAAACAAAAGGGAGGGCAAACATGTAAGATGATTAGTTTTGCTTTTAGTTCAGAAGAATATAGGATGAGCAAAGTTTTTTTTGTTTTTTTTTGTTTCGTTTTCGGTACAGAAGACATCAAAACCGAGATTAAAATCAAGTTTCATTCTGGGATCTGACACGTCCACACTGAGATCAAACACATTGGAAACAATATACATGTGGATTGGAAGATTGATTGTATTAAAGATCTCAGATTATTACAAGATTATGTTTGGTACTTTGGATTATCCATTGCATTGGAAATTTTATTCCTTGTTACTTGCAATCCATCCTTGAGATGTTTTGTATGCAAGCAATCGTAAGTATTTTGAATACATTGGTAGCAGGAAAGATAATATTACGTTTCTTTCTCTTCAATTGAGTTTTTGCAAATAAATGGCGTAACTGAAAATAATGCAATTAGGATACATGTTACAAGTAACAATAATGAAGGAAAGCCACTGTGATTTTGTGGGCACCCATGACTAAACATCTAAGACGGAGTCCAGAGAGCATTAGTTTAGAAGTAGATATGGAACGTGAGGGTAGCTGCTAAATACTTAGAGCTTGTATTTGAATATTTATGCATCTTGAACCTAAAGGAGATCTGTTCGTTTGAGGGAATATTGCATTATTAAACATATAACAAAATGAAGTCTGTGTTCTTTCTTGAGTTTGTACATATTTAGCCTGAGAGGCCCAGAAGAATATCAGCATAGCCAGAAGTGTGTGCAATTCTAATGCCCAGTGGTCGTAGGAGTTTTGTGGTTAGTTTCAATGTGTTCCTAATGTAAGTAGCGTGATGAGTGTGTCAGGGCGTGTAGTATCTTCCTGGCGTCATTTGTTATGACCCAGTTTTTCAGGTATCCATTGTCCTTGAATACCTGGAAGAGATATTAGTTTGTGTGTCTCCTCTAATTTGGTCCATTTAATGATGACAAAGGTGTCGTCCATGTAGCGTATCCATAGTTTTGGTTGGATTAGTGGAAGGGCCATACTTTCCAGTCTCTGCATCACCACTTCGGCTGTTAGTCCGGAGATAGGTGATCCCATGGGTGTACCGTTGATCTGTTCATATATTTGGCTGTTAAAAGTGAAGTGGGTGGTGAGACATAGGTCCAGTAGCTTCAGCATGTTGTCTGTGGAGATGATGTCACTGGGGTCTTGTTCTTGTTCTAGTAGTGCTGTCATTGTTTCACTTGCTAGTGGTATGTCTATCGATGTGAATAGGGCAGTAACGCCAAACGATACAATAAACAACACCCTCACTGGAATCAGATTCACCAGAGAAGAGGAGAAGACCAAACGGCTCCCATTCCTGGACATCATGGTAGAGCACAGAACAAATGGGGAATTCCTAACAAAGGTACACAGGAAAGCCACACACACTGACCAAGTATGAACTTCAACAGCAACCACCCTAACACACACAAATGAAGTTGCGTGAGAACATTATTTAAGCGGACAACAAAACACTGCAGCAGCACAGAGCTACGCTGAGAAGAAGAAGAGTACCTGATTTTGGTTGCTAAATGCAATCAAGTTTAAATCATTGTTGCAATATTTGATTGTGAGATTTCTTAAGTAGCTGAGTTAAAGGTAACTTGTGATTTACCCTCAACACCAGCAATAGTACTTCTCCTGTAGAACTAACAGGGCCCTAGCCAAGCTATTCCAGTACAGCTACCATGCTGCAATCTACTTCATTGGGCAATTTTCCACTTTTTATCATGTCCTCTGCCTGAGAAGAAAGACAAATCCAACCCTGCCAGTTACCACTGTGTCAGTTGATCTTCGATACCAGCAAAGGGATGGAACGGATAGTCAACAGAGTGTCAAGTAGCACTTACAAAGTGATAACCTGTCCATTGGTGTTCAGTTTAGGATACATCACGGTGACTCAGTTCCTGAGCTCATTGGTCCAAACATGGACAAAAGGGCTGAACTTCAGAGGCGAGAGTGACTACCTTTGATATCAAGGCTGCGTTTGAGAGAGTATGGCATCAAGAAACCCAAGCAAATCTGGAGTCGTCGGGAATCGAAAATTCTGACTCCAAGCAACTCTAGCACAAAAGATGATGGATTGAGCTATTTTAGTTCAATTACCTCATCCCCTTGGTCTAGCAAAGCAACATCAACATGCCATGAATGAATATCAAAACTCTTGAAAAGCTTTACAGTGCAGCAACCAATTCCACCACCTCCAGCGAGATGCCACCACCAGCCATACATTTTTCCTTTCCCCTCCCTTGTCAGCCTTCTGCAGACACTCTTACCACCTGGACACCCTGGCCCACTCTTCCTTCACTTGCAACAATCCCCCCTCCCCATCCTTTTCCTTGCAATCGCCGAAGGTGTAACACCTACCCATTTACCACCTCCCTTCTCGCTTGCCTTCCAGGTGAAACAGCACTTTACCTGCATTTCCCACAATTCAGTGTGAGCAGCGAATGCAGTACAATATTGTCTTCTCTACATTGGGGAAACGAAGCATAGACTGGGTGACTGCTTTGCAGAACACAGACATTCTGCTCACAAAAAGATCCTGAGCTTCCAGTTGCCTGCCACATCAACACACCAGCAGGTTCCCTGGCCAGCATCTGTCTCCGGTTTGCTGCAGTGCTTCAGCAAAACTCAGCGTAAGCTGGAAGAAGAACACCTCATTTTCTCCTTGGGGACCCTGCAGCCTCTTGGACTCAAGAAAGCTGGGTACAAGCCCTAAAGTTATTAAACTCCATGTTTTAGCCCCCACCCCCATACACCAGGCCTTGTGATCGCATAGTCTGCTATTATGACCACTAACATCTCCACTAACAGCTATTCACCCTTCTAGCCAGATTGTTATCCACTCCTTCGTCCAACTGTTCTTTTCTCTCTTTTAGGATCTATCCCTAATCACCTACCATTTACTCTTTACTCCCTCCCATCCTATCCTCTGCCTAAAAATTGATATTTTCCTAGCTTCCGTTAGTTCTGAGGAAATACCACCAGACCCGAAACGTTAACTGATACTCTTCACAGATGCTTCCACATCAGCTGAGCTTTTCCAGCAATTTCTGCTTTTGCAGTTGAACTGGAGCAGCCTTATAAATATTGCGGATACGAGGACAGATCAGAAATTAGGAAATGTAGAGCAAATAACTCATCTCCTGACTCTCGATGCCTGTCCACATCTAAAGGGTTAAGTCAGGAGTATGATGTAATTCTCTCCATTTGCCTGAATGGATTCACCTCCAAGAACACTTGGGAAGCTTAATCCAATCAAGGATTGGATTATTGCTTATTGGCACCCCATTCATCCTCTTCAACGTTCAGTCCCTTCGCTATTGATGCATAAGTGTGTACAATCTACAAGATGAACTGCAGTAACCTACCATGCCTGCAGTGATAGCACCTTCCAAATGCATGACCCTAATTACATAGAAGGGTAAAGGCAGCAGATACATGGAAAAACCACCACCTGCAAGCTCGCCTACAAGCCCCACATCAGACCGTCTGAACCTAATATCTTATTCCTCGCTGTTGCTTGGTAAAAATATGGCACTTCCCCTACGAACAGCACTGTCGGAGTCCTTAAACTTGAAGGACTGTAGTGATTCAAGAAGGCTCCTCACCACCACTTCAAGGACATTTGGGGATGAGCAATAAATATTGACCTAACAAGCAACATCAACATACCATGAATGTACTTAGGACTCTTAAACAGATTTACAAAGCAGCAACTGTATCACGAGCAAGTATACAGTTCAATTCTGAAATCTTATAAACTAATCTATTGTGTTCCACTTTTCCATTCTCTTTGTTTAATTCAGTTACATAACCCATGGCATATATGGGTTCAATCCTCAACCAGCAGTGTGCTGTGCCAATGACATGTCGAATGTGAGTTGATAATTTTTTATTCATTTGTATGCATGTTGTGATCCAGTACAAGAGAAGCTGAGAATTTGACCTGCCTAGGATTGTTAACTTTATTACTGGTTTGTTGAAGGTGACCTCCTATGAACTGATTTTATGCATCTGGAATTCAGTAGAACTGTTGTGGCTGAAATTCAAAGCTTCTTTGAATGAAGGATCTATGAAGTTGGTAAATGAATCCAAGGCTCCACAAATATTCAAATGTAGCAATTGTGTGCACAAAAATCTGACTATCTTTGCTAAAGAATAGCGATCAATTTCACAGGTATTTCTAAAGGAGTGAAATGTGAACAAATCACCTTTTATCCTTGCTGCTTTCACAGCTATTATTCTACAGACTGCCACATTTAATTTTTTTTTTGGAGCATTTGGTCAATTGAGTGCAATTATGACATTTAGATGAACTGATGTGTAAAACAATCTTGCTTGTATTCCTGTCATAGGAATGAATGTCATTGGAACTGTTAGTTTTATAACATAGCTGAGGGCATTACAATTTTGATTTGAGCTGACTGCCAGAAGAAGCTAATAGCAAAATAGTGATATTATTCTTCTCAGCAGTGTTACTGTTGCAACCTCCTGCATGGTGGGGAGAGAGAGAAATGCATTTGACGTTGCATGTGCAATCCATTTTGATATTCATATCTACCTACCTTGCCTGTTTATTGAATACTGTGTTTGTGCAAATCATCTTTTTCAGTCTTAGCCATGTGGCAGATCTCTTCCAAAGAAAGGGGATCCATTATTTTTACACTGTGTCCCTCCAAGCTTGTAACTGCCTTTGTAATATTTCTCACTTTTCTCCTTTCACCATTGTAGCAATTTTCGTTTATCTATTTAATGACACTGAATTTTTATAATGCTCAGTACAAAGGATCCCTGTTTCACCCTAAGTTGTAACTAAGTCTTCATACTTTATTTTGCTGTCTTTCCTGAAGTTTCGCAGAAATCTTAGCATTTCTGATTTCAAGTCACACTTTCTCAAGACTTTAAGAATATGGAATACATTACCTCCCTTAGTTCATCTTTTCTCGTAGTGGTCAGCCTCTTTTTAAAATTACTATTTACTTTAGTTTATTTGATTATTTTCTCCACATCGTTCCAACTGTGATAGCTTTCTTGCAAATAATAAATGTGGATTTCTTTTAGTTGCAGGTATAACATATTTGCCTTAAACTGGTAATGTGCAATTTAAAGTAATGTTAATCAGATTGTGAAGAAATATAGTATGTCGAGACTAATTGAACCCTTAGGTTGGGAAGAAAGGTGATGAAAATCATAACTTTGCATAGATTCTATTTTGCTTATGGTTGATTTGCAGTTGAAAATTTCAATTTCAGAGTTCGGAGTTTTATGGCAATAACCATGCATGCAACATATTTCAGTTTCCTTTTTATATTGGCTTGTCTCTTGCTGTTGATCTTGATCATGAGCTTGATGTGAGAATAATTGCTTCTCCTCAGGATTCGGATGTGAAGGAAACTCCAGAAAAGTTTGAAGAAGACGAGAATCCCTACGAACTTCTCCTGACTGCGGAAACAAAGAAGTTAACAACTTTGGATATATCCCATCATGAAACAGAAAATGCAGGTATGATATTGATACTAAACTTGCGCTATTGCAAAAAAATGGTGCTTCATAATCTGTTAGTGCCACTTCTGAATGGAACTAGGGCATTCATTGTGTTTAGTTTTCTGAAGGTTGCTGTGAACTTTGGTGACTGAGTCCTGGCTGTAAAGTTTCATTGTTTTTGCTTTCTGAATTTTAAAAACCTTTAATGAGCTATGAATGGGGTATTAGGATAAACACCATGTTCTCCACTTCTGCAGATGATTAATTTCTGTCCTTTTATTTGAGGAAATTTTCCTGAATATTCCAAGAATTTCCAGAAGTTTGGAAGATATGCTTAGATTGCGCCAACTCCCAATGGAATGCTAATTATCAGTGTTGACACCATGTATAATTGCAGTGAGTTTTATTTTTAATATGGAGGTTACTTTACTTTTCTGAATAAGAGTAGGTAAACCATGATCATTATTTGATAATTGTATAGAAATAAAATATCTTTTCCACTTAAAAACAAAATTCTGTAGATGCTAGAAGTAATGATAGAAAAAGCTATTGTTAACCCAGTAGGTCAGCCAGCATCTGAGTGCGAAGAAGAGTTAACTTTTCAGATTGATAAACTTTCATCAGAACTGGAAAAGTTGGTGGGGGGAGAACAAACGGAACAGTCTGTGATTAGGTAGTAGTCAGGGCACATTAAATTACAAAGATGACATAAATATATGGTTACAAATGAAATATAATGGAATACAATTTTAGTTTGTTGTTTGATGTTTTGCAGTGGGGATTAACTAGCAAATAGATGTAAATTAAACTATTCTGTTGGAGATGTGGATAAATTCTGCTAGTCATGTAATCGAGCACCAGCATTAATTTGCATACTAAATTAAGTAGATCACTGATCCATGACTAGCTCATGTCATGTTGTTTAACATAATGATTTACTGTGTTGTCAGTTTTTCTTCTTAGACCAGATGCTGCCTTTTCCTCTAGACACCACAAATGTGTGGGTTCACATTTCGTCAGTACTTAGATAAAAATGACCTCTACCATCATAAATTTAAACATATAATTTCTCACCTTTTGAAGCAAAATTAAATAAATAGTTGAATGTTAAGATACAGCATTCAGTCCTTTTAGCATAACAACATTGGTGTGATATGGATTGTAAAGCTGTCATAAAATTGCTGTATGTATATTTCACAGAAAATGTCAACTCTTTATTCTCTGTATTATTTTAATATTGGTATTTGCTTCTGTAAATTTGTGACAAAAATCTTGTGTACAGCACACTTTGCAGTTTATAACAGCAAAAAGTGAGGTTGCACTTTTAACTGGCTAAGACTTCAACATTCTCATTTGCTTGTATGTAAGTTTCTTAAAGGTGCAAAAGAACAGTTCTTTGGAAGAATGGTCGTTGTAATGCTGCAGAGAATTGCAGAGAATCCCATTTTCTCCACGCAATCACACCACAAGTTGATTGACAAAACAAAATTCTAACACCGCTAAATACAGGCAGTATTCCTTCTAAACTGCACAGTAATACAGAAGTTCAGCATACTGACCGCATACCGATCAGCATGATCTCTGCGCCAAAGCATTGACTTTGAGTTTTGGAAGTTGCTACTGCATTCTCTGTGACCAAAAAAAAAAGTTAGAAGGAATATTGGAAGCAGGGCAGATGTTTCCCTTGGATGGGGAGCCTGGAACCAAGGGTCAAAGTCTCAGGATATGGAGTAGGCCATTTAGGACTGAGATGAGGAAACCTTTCTTGACTGAAGGTGATCAATCTGTGGTATTCGCTACCACAGAAGACTGTAGAGATGGGATCACCGAGTACATTCAAAAAAGAGAGTGATAGGTTATTGATACTAAAGGCATCAAAAGGAGAGAAAATGTGGCTACGATTTGGTGATAGAGGATGGGCCATGATCATATTGAATGGGGAGGAGGCTCAAAACACCTATTGGCCTACTTCCAGTTCTTGGTTTCTAATGAGAACATTTCCAAATCAGGAAACCAATGGAGAAAAATGTTTCACCTGTTTGAGAGCCTTACTGATACACTACTTTGATACAGAGGTAGGAGACTAGGAAATGCAGTGAAGAATTGGCACTGGGAAAATGGAGGACAGGTGTAAATAGAACAAAAGAAGCCTCAATTGCTATATTGTACTGAGGAAAACCACTGCCACTCCATTCCACTCTAGTGCAGGTAAAAGACAGACAAACTTGACAAATTATGGCAATGTTCCTGTATCCACAAGTAGCTGCAGGACAAACAGGAGCCCTAATTTCCATGATGACCATATCCTCAGCCCTGCCTCCATCCTTACCAAATAGATTAGAAGAGGTGAAGCTACAATGAAAGATTTCAGTTTGTTTTTTCAGTAATTCAGCAAATGAACAGGCAGCACCCAACAATGCTAGTCATTCCTGGAGTGTCCACAGTTATCATTCATAGCCCACATCAAGAACACTATTATGTAACCTCAGGGATAAGTTTACTTTTAATTTTGGATCCTCTCGGGTGACAGGTTTCTGAAAGATTCTGTTTTATGTGAAGGGCTGGCTGTGGTGGGTGTATGCACTATTGTTGGATGGCAGATTTTAGAAACCACGTGCTGGGACAGTATGATATCCTGTTGGTGATAAGAATGTCTCTCTGATTTGATGGGGGTGGCGGGTTCAGTTCCAAACCTTGGAAGGAAAGCTTAGATGCTAATTTGGGTGCATGATTAAACAGTAAGGACATTATTCCCCTTTTGGTGCATGCGACCTCTTCATTGACACACTCTCACCAGAAGTCAAATGAGGTATTTGAGAAAACAAATCGTGGCAATAGGTGCTTGAATGTGGCTGAGGTCAGCATAGGCTCCATTTTTTTTCATATTTGTTTAAACATTTTCTCTTAGTTGACCACAGTTGTCTAACTGTACACGCAGAGTTTTTGTCTTTGTTTGCATTTATCCTGTTGTATTACGCAAAAATGTTTGAATGCTTCATGTTTTGCACGTTTCATTAATAAGAGTTCAGTACAATTAACTGCAGTCAATTTTCACCCATACCTCTGATGTTTGCCTTAAACCAATTTTAAAGCTTCATTTGTGACTCTTGTTTCTCTTTCAAATCTAATGTCAAATGGAGATATTTTGTATTTCCCATTTGCAGCACAGTCCCTCAAGCAGTAGGTACTGCAGTTCAAGCAACAGTCTCTAACTAGCCCTTACACCTTGAAGTAGGGGCCACATCTCTGACTGAACCTACAGAGTAAGCTGTTAAGCTATTGCCAATTGTGTATGCATCAGAAATCCTTAGTGGAATTGAGAAAGCGTATGACCACCATGAACACCTTTCATTCCTGCCTTATGGGCAGTATAACATTTCTCATTCATCACAGACTTGAGCACATTCTTACATTCCCTCACACTAAACTGAACTTGTTGCAGAGACCTAGAGATGTATCCTTTCTGTTTGATGAATTGTCTGAGTCTCTGGATTAACAGTCCAGCGATAATGCCATTAGGGCATTGCCTGACTGGAGGTGTCTCATTTGTGGTTTTCCAATCTGCTGGAACCCTCTAGAACATGGAGAGTTCTGAAATATTTTGACCAGTGTCTTCACTATCTCTGTAACAACATCCTTTTAACACTTGGATGCAGGCCATCAGGTCTTGGCAACTTGTTGCCTTTAATCCTGTTAGCTTGTCAAAACTTTGCCCTTTATGATAGACACTGTTACATGTTTTTTCCTCCCATTTGCACGTTAGCACCTTCATTATCTGATATCTTTGTGATGTTTGTAGTTCCTCCATTGTTAACACTGATGCAAAATATTGTTTTAAAGTAATTGCCATTTCCTGATCTCCATTATTAATTCCCCAGTTGCATCCTCTAAGGATTGCACATTTATAAGAACATAAGAACTAGGAGCAGGAGTAGGCCGTCTGACCCTTCGAGCCTGCTCCGCCATTCAATAAGATCATGGCTGATCTTTTCATGGACTCAGATCCACTTACCCGCATTCTCACCGTAACCCTTAATTCCTTTATTGTTCAAAAAAAATCTACCTTTTCTTCAAAAACGTTTACTGAAGTAACGTCAACTACTTCACTGGGCAAGGAATTCCATAGATTAACAACCCTCTGGGTGAAGAAATTCCTTCTCAATTCAGTCCTAAATCTGCTCCCTCTAATCTTGAGGCTATGCCCTCTTGTCCTAGCTTCACCTGCCAGTGGAAACATCCTCTCTACTTGTTCTATCTTTTCTATTCCCTTCATAATTTTATATGTTTCTATAAGATCCCCCCTCAATCTTCTGAATTCCAATGAATATAATCCCAATCTACTCAGTCTCTCCTCATAAGCCAACCCCCTCAACTCGGGAATCAACCTAGTGAACCTCCTTTGCACCCCCTCCAGTGCCAATACATCCTTTCTCAAGTAAGGAGACCAAAACTGCACACAGTACTCCAGGTGTGGCCTCACTAGCACCTTGTATAGCTACAACATAACCTCTCTGCTTTTAATTTCAATCCCTTTAGCAATGAAGGACAAAATTCCATTTGCCTTCCTAATTACTTGTTGTACCTGCAGACCTACCTTCTGTGATTCATGCACGAGGACACCCAGGTCCCTCTGCATAGCAGCATGCTGCAACTTTTTACCATTCAAGTAATAACTCTTTTTACTATTACTCCTACCAAAATGTATGACTTCACATATATTTACATTGTATTCCATCTGCCAGACCTTTGCCCACTCACTCAATGTATCTATGTTCCTCTGCAAAGTTTCACAGTCCTCTGCACACTTTGCTCTGCCACTCATCTTAGTGTCATCTGCAAACTTTGATACCCTACACATGGTCCCCAACTCCAAATCATCTATGTAAATTGTAAATAATTGCGGTCCCAACACGATCCCTGAGGCACACCACTAGTCACTGACTGCCAGCTAGAATAGCACTCATTTATCCCCACTCTTTGCCTCCTGTTAGTCAACCAATCCTCTATCCATGCTATAC